AGCAAATTATTGCCCTAAAAATGGCCTGTCCACCTTGTCTAGATTAGAAATAGATGAAATGAACTATATAGGATTGCTTCTGTTTGGTAAGATTATATGCATGAGCCCTCAAATCCCACACCCGCTTCCCTGAATCTTTTTTTTTTTGGGGGGGGGGACATTGACCTCACTATTGTTTTCTTTTTAATTGTCTCAAGTACTTTCTGAATGCTGCTATTGACTGCTAGGTTCTGCTTAACTAAACTAAAGGTAATCTTCCTCATTAAACAGAGCTTATTTAAGAACAAGAAGAAGATCTCTGTCTGCTGTGAATCAGCCTCTACTACTTTTTTGCTGGCTGGAGCCAGTTTTGTGTGTGTGTGTTAAAAGCAGCTGCGCTTCTTAAAGGAACAGGTTGCTTCGCCAAGGCAACATTGCAAGAACTTCTTCTGCTGGGAGGTGAGAAGATAAGGACATAAGAAAAGCCCTGATGGATCAGGCAAAGGGCCCATCTAGTCCAGCACCCTGTTCCAACAATGGCCAACCTTAGGCCTGCTGGTAGAAGCCTGCAAGGAGAACCTGACTGCACCAGGTGAATTACACCGACTGGTATTTGGAGGCAGACCCTGGAGGTAGAGCATAGCCACTGAAGGAACAGTTTCTACCTCCAAGAGATGGCTCCTTCTTCTATGGTGGAGGGATAGCAGAAGTCATGAACCAACACTTTTGAGAATGCGGGAGGATAGTGAAAGGCCCCTTAATGGTTGGGTTGAGTCAAGCAGAGGCTTTCTCATTGGCCTTGTTGCAGGGGTGGGGGAGAGTCTACTTGTGAGCAAGACCAAAAGATGTGAGTGGAAAGACATACCTGGAAGGAAGAGGGTGTGGCTTCTGTGGGTAGGGGTAGTGAAGAACCAGATGAGCACAAACAGGCTGCTCAAGGAGAGCAGCCCTTTTCTTTTGGCAGAAGTCATGTGGGCACAAGGCTTACTTTACCTTCCCTCATGTCATGATGGAATCACAGAAATGTTGGACAGGATTGTTGGACCTTCTTATCCCCAAGTGCAGAAGTGAAAAAAAAATATATACAACAACTGCCATGCAGACTGCTGGACCCTCTTATGAAATTTGGCTACCCTGAACAGCTTCTTGGTTGCCCAAATCCCTGTTGTATCATGGGAGCTTCAACGGGCAAGGAGGCTATATCCAGACTGCTGCTAGATCTGCTTGTTGTTGACATACTAGAACACTTTGTAGTGTTATGTCCTCAGCATGGATGTTCCAGTAATGTCAAGAAGTCATGAGGAAGTATCTATGGCACTGCTCTTTTCCATACCAGCACTGCTCAAGCTCCCTCGCAGGGTGGGTCCTGGTTTCTCCAAGCAGCTCAAGTACCACCAATTCCTCCAAGGTGACTTTGGACTTCCAACATGTGGTACAGGGGGGAATGGTGCCCCAGTGAGTCCCTCACCAAGAGATGAGAGATGAGCCCTTGAATTCCAAGGCCCATGCGAAACATTTGTTAAATTAAGCTCCCGAAATAATGCCTGCGCGCCATGCATTTTCAAATGACACATTGTTGGTGCAAATTGGTTGAGCGGCTTTGGAGCATTTAAATGAGAAGAGACAGAAAGACAGATGGCCCTGGCTGCCTGTCTATGTTAAATTTACGTACATTCCATTATTCATCCTGCTTCCGAGATCCAGATTTTCAAGGAAGACTTTTTTTCTCTCTCTCTCCAAGGACATGGAAGACAGAGGACTAAGACTGCTGGTCCTGAGTTTTGATGGTCTTTGGGTCCATGTGAGCTGCTCAGTCGTCTTAGGCCTCCCATTTTGGATATCAAGAAACAGCAAACATGGTATAGAGAAATAAACTATTGTAAGATGTTAGAATCTTTCCAGTGTTAAGCACTGCCCACCTCTTTGACTTCCCTATGTTCTGCCCACTTTTCTACAAAACTATGAGGACCAGCTGGAATTCTTGGGATGCACAAAAGCAGGTACTAGGGTCTATACTTGCAGGCTTTGTATGCTTGAGATATATGAAGCCCATTTCTGTGCCACTAGCACACCACTCTGGCTTTCCACAGTAGACTACATCAAGCTCAGAAGATGCTCAGAGGAATCAAAGTGGCTGAATGGACAAGACGGCACTTGAGGGTGTCAACAAACGATGCACTAAATGTTTGTTGCTCTGGTTCAATGATGCAATTATTACAATAAATTGGATTGTTTTGTAATTCACAGTTATTAACCTTAGCAATGTCAATGAGCTGCCACTGTAATCAAGCCCTTGTAAATGATGGGGGGTAATGAGGGAAAGCAAGTCTGGTGCACAGTGTTTGCAGAAGGATGCCATTCCGAGGGGACGTTCCCAGTAGGCCAGGGCCAGGAGGAATCCAGCAAGCTCAGTTTCCAAGCCAACTCAACTGATCTGATCCACACCTGGACCAATGCATGAATTGGATCAGGGGTCCACTTCTGGATTTTCTCAATGCTGGATCCCTAGTAACTTGCTAGCATCTGTTATGTGGAGATTTGGGATTGCCTTTATCTTATCTCATTGTTTTCTAAAGGCGCTTTCAGTTGCCCTGAGCAGTGACTAGTTAGCCCATTGGATGCATTCGGAATGGGTAATATTTCATTAGTTTTCCTGATTATAATGCTAACACTTCCATCTCATATTCTAATGTTCCCTTCACAATGCAGTCACATCATGCTAAAATTAATTCACACCAGTGGGCATTGTGTGACCCAACAATTAACATTACTGCTCCCCACCCCACCCTTTCTGCACATGACTCACCCACGGAACCAGCAGGAAAGAACTATGTACCACCCGAAATTCCATCACTTAACTCTTGCAACTTTCTGGGTTAAGGGAGTTGCAAATGGACTCCCCCGCCCCCCGCAATCAAATAACATGGAAACGAACACTAATCATGCACTATATTCCATTAGTTTTCCGGACGTGGCTTCTAACATGGCGTGAAAGCTCAAACGTAAAGCAGAAATTAACAATTAGGGAAACATCAGAGAAGTGGAATAAACTGTTGGGTGAATGCAGCCACTGTTGCAAGCTGCTCTGGGAGTAATGAGACTTGATGTGTCATCACTCTCAAATACATTTGTACAGGAAGCAAACAAACAAAACAGCCTGTTGGATCAGGCCAACAGCCCATCTAATCCAGCATTCTGCTATGGTCAGCCAAATACCCTCAGGGAGCCAGACTTACTTCCCCCAGACTAAAGGGCACCCTCTCTTTATTATTCCTTCTATGCTAACTGATCTTTCCAGATGGTCCTCCTATGCTTTGTCTTTTTCCATTTTTAATGTCCTCACAATTCTCTCTCTCTTCACCCTGCGTCTCTCTCTCTCTCTCTCTCTCTCTCTCTCTCTATATATATATATATATGAGCCATGTGTTGAAAAATAGACAATTTGTCTTTCAGGCAACATCACTACAGCTGGGCGGGGGGGGGGGAGGAGGAGCGGAAGAAAGATGTTGTCCCCTTGTCTGCACATCGGAGAAGTTCTGAGTAAGATGAAGTAACTGTGAGAGAAGCCAAAAAAAGGGGGGTGCAGATACATTTTTAGGTAAGATCGCATAAACGCCCACTGAGACGTAGCCTGCCAGGATTTTTCTGATCCAGCTTGTCAGCAGGAAAGAAGCACTGCAGTCATTGACAGAGTCTCCCCATGTGCCACTTTCTGCTGTCGATCTCCACTACAGATCCACCGCCAGAAGTTGCTGGGCCTAGAACCAGGGCTATGCAGCTACCCTGAACAATGAACCATCAGGTGCTCCAAGCTGAAGCATCTCCCTGAGCTGGTGAGCGTTTCTATGGGAAAATTTGGCCTCTAAATTCCTGTCCTGTAATTTTTGTCTCACGCGAAACAAGCTTCATAATAACACCGGAAGAGTTTGCTGGATTAAGCCAATGGCCCATCTAGTCCAGCATCCCAATCTCACAATGGCCACCCAGATGCCTGTGGGAAACCCACAAACAGGAAAGAAAGAAAATGATGCTAAGAGATCACTGCTTAGCCCCTTGGTAGTTATGAAGGGTTATTTTCCCATGAGGCCATTAGGGAATTTTGGAGCTACAGTGGTACCTCAGGTTAAGAACTTAATTCATTCCAGAGGCCCATTCTTAACCTGAAGCTGTTCTTAACCTGAGGTACCACTTTAGCTAATGGGGCCTCCCGCTGCCGCCGCACGATTTCTGTTCTCATCCTGAAGCAAAGTTCTTAACCCGAGGTACTATTTCTGGGTTAGTGGAGTCTGTAACCTGAAGCATCTGTAACCCGAGGTACCACTGTACTTCTGATTCAAAAGTGCTACTTCTGATTCAGGTGAGGCAGTCAGTGTGCTAAATTAGTGTCTGGCATCAAGCAATACTCAGAAACATTTATTATTGCTGTTATTATGAAACTGTTATTGTGATATTGATTTTGTGGTTTGTTCTCATTTCTATTATATACTGCTTTGAGCTTTTAGTGTGTGGACATACATCAATACAATATATTTAAGAAACAGTTTTAAAAAACAACAAACAGAGCACAACTTTAATAAATAAATAAATTACCAAGTACAGTGGTACCTCGGGTTACAGATGCTTCAGGTTACAGATGCTTCACGTTACAGACTCCGCTAACCCAGAAATAGTACCTCGGGTTAAGAACATTGCTTCAGGATGAGAACAGAAATCGTGCTGCGGCAGCGGGAGGCCCCATTACCTAAAGTAATGGGTTAAGAATAGTTTCAGGTTAAGAAAGGACCTCCAGAACGAATTAAGTTTGTAACCAGAGGTACCACTGTATAAAAAACAAACAAACAGGACTTGGGTGCAAGAACACTCTCCTTTCCTGGGGTTCCCAGCAACTGGCATTCAGAAGCATTTACTGCCTCTATCCATAGAGGCAGAGTATAGAAATAATGGCTAATAACCATTAATAGCCTTCTCAGCCTTAATTCCTTGAAGTCCATCTGACAGCCAGTCCAGAGGGTGGCCCTGGCTCTCTGCTTCCTCCTCCTCCTCCTCCTCCTCCTCCTCTGAAGAAGAAGAAGAAGAAGAAGAAGAAGAAGAAGAAGAGTTTGGATTTGGTATCCCGCTTTATCACTACCCTAAGGAGTCTCAAAGCGGCTAACATTCTCCTTTCCCTTCCTCCCCCACAACCAACACTCTGTGAGGTGAGTGGGGCTGAGAGACTTCAGAGAAGTGTGACTAGCCCAAGGTCACCCAGCAGCTGCGGAGACGCGAACCCGGTTCCCCAGGTTACAAGTCTACCGCTCTTAACCACTATACCACACTGGCTCTTTAGTCTCAGTGTTGCCCCTGTCGCACTCTGCAGGGAGAAGAAGGGGGACGGGGACAAAACTAGAACGAGCTGGTGCTGCCTGTCATTGGCTCTGGCTCCACATACTGTTTGGCCTCCCTGCCTTCTGCCCCACCCAACCCAATGGGCACCAAGCCACTTCTGCTTGCCGGGCTGGAACATGTCCTTGAACTGCGATAAGGCCTCTTGCTTGTCTGCATGCAAAATGGAGTTCTGTGCATATAGGGATCTCTAGTGTTGGCTTGGCTGAAATGTAGCCAGCTGTACAAAGGTGAGAGTCCCATCTGCTGTTCCATCCACTTTCCTTCTGTCTGTTGTCTCTGGCACTGCCTGTCACTGGCATGTGGCCCTTGGAAGATCAACCATGAGGAAATGTGGCCCACACCCTGAGGGAAAAAAAGGTTCCCCACCCTTAATTTGCCAATATTGGCTCCACATTCTGACTGTGGCCAGAGAGCTCATAACTGTCAAATGAAATTTTTGATGAGCTTTACTCAGTGCTTTCTTTCTAGAAAAATAGGTGCTGGTACTCACCATGGTTACAGTAAGTGCCACACTTTTTAACAACAGCAAAAAGAGGTCCCAGTACTGAATACACTTGAGTACCCCCTGGGGGGGAAAGCCTTACTAGACTTAAAGGTAAAGGTAAAGGGACCCCTGACCATTAGGTCCAGTTGTGGCCGACTCTGGGGTTGCGGCGCTCATCTCACTTTATTGGCCGAGGGAGCCAGCATACAGCTTCCGGGTCATGTGGCCAGCATGACTAAGCCGCTCCTGGTGAAACCAGAGCAGTGCACGGAAACACCGTGCTTTCGAACTGCTAGTTGGGCAGGAGCAGGGACTGAGCAATGGGAGCTCACCCCGTCGCGGGGATTCGAACCGGCGACCTCCTGATTGACAAGTCCTAGGCTCTGTGGTTTAACCCACAGTGCCACCCGCGTCCCTTACTAGACTTAGGGTAACTAAATTGGTCCAAGCACTCCACCCCTTTATGCTGAGGTGGATTTCACAGTCCATGTCAATGACTGTTTTGTTTAACTGAGTGAGAACAAAATTCTAATATTGAATTTTTTTGGGGGGGAGGGAGACACCTGCTAATGGTTCTGCAGCCCTCCAGCGCCCGATCCCTACAGAACGAACCAGCCAACACGCATCAATCAGAGCCTCCCAGAGTGCCGTGTTTGCTGAATTGGCCTGTGTTCAAAGGAGTTTGCAATTTCCCATCTAGAATTAGAACACTTTCCATGCAAATGATGGCTGGGCTGTGCAATTTGAATTTCTAAGGAGCTAATTTCGTTGCCATCTCTGACAGCTGGGTGTCCAATACTGATCAGTCTCCGCTTGGCCTGCCTGGAGTAGCAATATCCACTCTGTGACGGATGAGATCCTAACTTGTCAATGACGAGCACTAAGGGTTCTTTAATTTTCCACGAGTCTGAAGGGTCGGCGAGTGTGCGTGAGCGAGTGCGCGTGTGTGTTGAGCAAGCAAAATCCCCAGGAGTGCTGGAAATTGGCTGCGATCATCACCACATTATCCCTCAAAGGTTTGTCCAAGCACAGCATGGACTGGTTAAATGAGAGAGGAAATGAAGGGCAAGGGAAGGCAGGAGCTGGATGCTCAGGGATAACTCTATGCATTGTAAACATTTTCAGCTTGGCTGGTGGTCGTTCCTACTGGGCTGCTTCAACCGTCATCTCTGGACCCCGATGGATCATTATTTTCCCCCATGAACTCTGCATCCAGTGCATACAGAAGACTTCATTCTCTTGAGAAATTAGTGTGCATGCAATTTCCATTATAGATAATAATGCCAACAGCTACAGTTTCCCCTCCCCCAAGGGACTCATACAGCATATCACACTCTTTCATGAGCTGAGCAGATGCTTCTCTATCTTGAAAATGAGGAAGGGAAACAAGCAAAGGCCAATCCTTCTCCTTTTGATGATCCCTTATTGGCGCAAGGTGCTTATCAATTACTAGAGACGTTCATGAAAAGTGCTGGGCTAATGCTTAGAGCCTACATAAAGGATAATCAGACCTAAAAGCCTTGGCCACCCATCTGCCCCAGCAATGACCTCTCAGTGGTCATAAGGGAGGGCCCACAGCCCAGCATGTGCTGAGTGGTAGAAGGTCTCCAGTATCAGGGAGTGAGGCTGGAAAAGTCCTCCACTGGACAGCCATTGCATGTTAGGCAAGACCAGGGAGGGGGTCCTGTGACAGCCCTCCAGGGCAGGGGTGACAGGAGTTGAACCCCAGCAGCGCCTGTAGGGCACCTGGTAGGTAGGTTTCATCCTTTACCCCAAATCTTAAATTCAATTCTAAACATATCTGCCACAATTTGTACATTTGTATATGTTATGGTGGATTCATGAAAAGCCGCCATGAAAATCCATTAAGAGAATATATATGTGGCCCTCTTTGTCATTTTCAATATTGTTTGTGTTTTTATGTGTGTTGTTATTGTTTGAGTTGAATCTCATGTATTGTGGTATTAATTGAATTAAAAATGGAGGGGGGGATCACTATCATTTTAGTGTGAATTTCTCCAAATAAACACCTTTTGAATGCAGTTTTGACCAATATACACATTTTTTTTTGTATGCAATTTCCCCTTATGGTAATGCATTTGCATGTTACTTTCACTACTATATTCATTTTTACATGCTGACTTTTCCCTAGTGTATGCATTTTGGTACATATCACTTGGCTGGAAAACTGCATTGCAAAATTCAAGGAAGTGTGAATTTGGAAAGATGGCTGTGTTTCTATTTGCATGTTGATTTTTGAAAATGTGAATTTGGTGGGTTCTCCTTTAAATGCAGTCTGAATCAAATTTCTCTCTCATATCTAGTCACATGTCTCCTATCCCTGGATTAGACCATAAGAGTCTAAAGGACCAATTATATATATATATATATATATATATATATATGCACCTTCTATAGGCCAAACTGCAAGAAGGCATGATTAGAAAGGAATTTTTGATGGCAGACTTCTTCTTAGATCAGAAGGGCTTTAAGACTGCAGTGCTGAACTCACTTACTTGGGAGTAAGTCCCCCTGAATTTGTAGGGATGGATTTAGACACTAGGAGAGGATATATTGTTTAGTTATTATCCTTTGTTGCTGACATTAGTGAGATCAGAAGAGTACCATCCTTTGTGGCTTAAACCTGGAAGCTAAGACAAGGTTGATTTAACCTTGATTTAACATTTGAGGATCTCTCCCTCATTACAGTCGATCAGGTATATGAAGATGAGCAGCAAAGTCAGTCCTCAGGGAATGTGCAGGCGACCTTGGAACGGACAGCTCACGGAAGAACCCCGACCAGACCTAAGAGGAGGCGTGTAGTGGTGATAGGGGATTCCCTACTGAAGCAGTGATCTGTGGGCCTGACAAGATGTCTCGGGAAGTGTGCTGTCTCCCGGGGCTAAGATCCAAGATGTAACTGAACGACTGCAAGGAATCATAAAACCCACTGACAAATACCCCTTCCTCTTGGTTCATGTGGGAACCAATGACACTGCAAGCAATAGCCTCCAGAAGATCAAAAGAGACTACGAGGCTCTGGGCAGGAAATTGAAGCCATTAAATGCACAAATTGTCATCTCATCTGTCCTCCCAGTTGAACGACGTGGCCCAGGGAGAGAGGGAAAAATAGTGGAAGTGAACAGCTGGCTTCGCAAATGGTGTAAACAGGAACGGTTTGGATTCTTAGATCACGGACTGCAGTTTCTTGAAGATGGACTTCTGGCAAGCGATGGGCTGCACCTCACAACGGTTGGGAGGAATGTTTTTGCCAAAAATCTCAGAAACCTCATCAGGAGGGCTTTAAACTGACTAATGTGGGAGAGGGAGACCGTGCTTCTGAAGGTAGGAGTCTATCAATTGATGAAGATGATCATCCAAATGTCATAGACCAAATGGAGCAAACAGCACGCAGACCTAGTGGTGGGAGGAAAAAATCCTTAAATAAGAGACACGGGGAATGATTAATGGACTTCAATGTCTGTACACTAATGCGCAAAGCATGGGAAATAAACAAGATGAGCTTGAGCTCTTGGTACAGCAAACTAAATATGACATAATAGGCATCACTGAAACCTGGTGGGATAAGTCCCACGATTGGAATGTAATAATGGAGGGATACAATCTATTTCAGAGAAACAGACCAGACAAGAAAGGAGGAGGAGTAGCGTTATATGTCAGGGATGTGTATACCTGTGAAGAGATCCAAGATTTAGAACCTCAAAGCCAAAGTGAGAGCATTTGGGTCAAAATTAAGGGAGAGAAGTATAACAGTGACCTCATTGTGGGAGTTTACTATAGATCTCCAAGCCAAACGGAGGACATAGATGATGCCTTCCTGGAACAGATGGCCAAGCATGCAAAAGGAAGGGAGATAGTAGTAATGGGGGACTTCAATTACCCGGATATTTGTTGGATGTCAAACTCAGCCAAGAGCATAAGGTCAAACAGATTCCTCACTGGCCTTGCAGACACCTTCATTGTCCAGAAAGTGGGAGAAGCAACAAGAGGAACAGCCATTTTAGATCTGGTCCTAACCAATGTTGATGACCTGGTTAGTGGGGTAGAAGTGGAAGGATCATTAGGCATGAGTGATCATGCTCTTCTGAAGTTTACTATACAGCGGAAAGGAGCAGCCAAGCATACTAGGACTCAATTTCTTGACTTTAAGAAAGCCGACTTCATAAAACTTAGGGAAGTGCTGGGTGAGATCCCATGGACAGTAATACT